AATATTACTTCCTGTCTCAGTCCTGGTTGGTGAAACAAGTTGAATAATGATTTGTGTGATTAATAGATATGTAGTTCAAAGGATACAACTATGAGGGAAGGGGGATAAATTTCACCCCACAGAATAGCTAAATTAGAAAGATAATTAGATGTATGATAGAGAAAATAGGTAGGTGGGAGGTTGGACTTTTACTTGGAGGAGCCAGTTACTCTCCATTTAGCTTAGCTAAGACTTTCTCAGATGTGTCTAATGCCATGGGGGCTTTGTACTCTGTCACCTCGACCAAGCTGGAACCACGTTACCCAGACTTCCCTTTCCCCTGTGGTTCTTCATTAGGCTGGCCACAAACGATAGTTTTGTGATACCAGAAGACAGAAATGAAGCAGCAACCATTCTCTGAAGGTCAGCATAGAGCATCTGGTGCTGCTGCAGCTCATGCTCTTTATTGATTGCAGGTTCACCTCATTGGCTTAGGGCATCATCTCCTGTTTAAATCCCTTCCTTTTGTTTCTCCAAGACTAGGTACGTTGTGCAGCTCTATGGTAAACAGCACAAGTTCCTTTTGAAAATTGCCTGCATTACTGGGTATATACCCAAGGAATTATAAATTGTTCTATTATAAAGACATGCGCACACATACGTTCATTGCGGCACTGTTTACAATAGCAAAGACTGGAATCAACTCAAATGTCCATCAACGATAGACTGGATAAAGAAAATGTGGCACATATACACCATGGAATACTACACAGCCATAAAAGATGAGTTTGTGTCCTTCATAGGGACTTGGATGAATCTGGAAACCATCATTCTCAGCAAACTGACACAAGAACAGAAAACCAAACACCACATGTTCTCACTCATAGGTGGGTGATGAACAATTAGAACACGTGGACACAGGGAGGGGAGGATCACACACTGCGGTCAGTTGGTGGGGGGCTAGGGGAGGGACAGCAGCGGGTGGGGAGGGATAACATGGGGAGAAATACCAGATATAGGTGATGGGGGAATGAAGGCAGCAAACCACCTTGCCATGTATGTACCTATGCAACAATGCTGCATGATCTGCGCATGTACCCCAGAACCTAACATACAATTTAAAAACCAAAAAAAAAAAAAAAAAAAAAAGCCTTCATTGTCAAGGTTTGAGGTAATGAAAGACAGAAATAGACTCTAGGCTGTCCTTGTGCATTCCAGTCCATCCTGGCTTCTGTTTAATTCTTTCCATCATTTCACATCCAGGTTTTCTTCCTGGCTGTTAGACCTGGTGATCTAAGGTTTAAACCTATAATAAACCTTTCATTTCATATCATTCACAGTATTTCTGTCTCCTTGATCGGTCCTAAGAAGTTTGATGCTCTGTACATCCCCACCCCTACCAATCAAAGGCTTAAGGAAAATCTATCATCAGCAGCACTATTCTATACACCTTTTTAGTGGAGGCATAAATTTACTTTTTAATGATTCCTTATGTTATCTTGCCCAATCATTCTGAGAGTAAGAATGACATGAATCCACAGTGCTAGGATAGCTTGCTTCTAAAGGCTGCTTTCTCCTCTCAGATTCAGTGTTCCATAGAAATGGGATTATTTATAATTTTTTTATGATTATTCTTGTGAGGAGCTAAAGAACCAGAGAAATTGCCTTATCATTGAGCTACCACTTGAGAATGAACCATTTTTAGATAGCCTCATTATAGACTATATATTTCCCTCATCTTTTTACACTGGAGCCTCTGCTGCACTTAAGCTTCCTCACTCATAATTTGACTTATCTCCAGCTGCTCAGATGTGTTCAAGCATGGCAACCTCCACAGTCTCTAAAGCATAACTGCATGGGCAGATGTTGCAGACTGAGGCTGCTGCTTCCCTTTTTCACTCTTATGAACCTAAATACTTTGGTGATCAGCCAAATTAGAGTCAATCATGCTCTTTATTTAGGTGCCCTTAGCCTTGAACAATGGTGAGGAGTGAGAAGCAGAAACAAGCTTATGTCAAGATGCCAACTTTCCATGACAAGGCAAACAAGGAGAATATTTTCAGGAACGATAACTAAACACTCCCATGCATGGTATTCTTTCATGGCCAAGGGAGGTGGAGAGAGGGGTAAGACACCATAAACCCTAAAACAAAGTTGATCTTCTCACCTGTTTAAGTTGATATTTCTACATGAAAAATGGGACCAATAATTCTATCCTATTTAAAGGGAAGTAGGAGACTATTTTTTTTTAACTTTTAAGTTCATGGGTACGTGTGCAGGATGTGCAGGTTTGTTACATAAGTAAATGTGCATCATGGGGCTTTGTTGTACAGACTATTTCATCACCCAGGTATTCAGCCTAGTATCCATTATTTTTCCTGATACTCTCCTTCCTCCTACCCTCTAGTAGGCCCCAGTATGTGGTGGTGTCCTCTATGTGTCCATGTGTTCTCATCATTTAGCTCCCACTTATAAGTGAGAATATGAAGTATTTGGTTTTCTGTACCTGCATTAATTTGCCAAGGATAATAGCCTCCAGCTCTTTCCATGTCCCTGTAAAGTACATGACTTTGTTCTTTTTTATGGCTGCATAGTATTCCATGGTGTGTGTGTGTGTGTGTGTGTGTGTGTGTGTGTATATATATATATATATACACACATACATACATACACATACACACACCACATTTTCTTCATCCAGTCTAACATTGATGGGAATTTGGGTTGATTCCATGTCTTTGCTATTGTGAATAATGCTGCAGTGAATGTATGCATACAGGTGTCTTTATAATAGAATGATTTATATTCCTTTGGTTCTATACTCAGTAATGGGATTGCTTGGTCAAATAGGATTTGTTTCTAGGTCTTTGAGGAATTGCCACTCTGTCTTCTACAATGGTTGAACCAATTTATACTCCCATTAACATTGTATAAGTGTTCCTTTTTCTCCACAAACTTACCAGCATCTGTTATTTTTTTTTGACTTTTTAATAGCCATCTGACTGACATGATACGGTATCTCATAGTGGTTTTAATTTGCATTTACCTAATAATCAGTGATGTTGAGTTTGTTTTTATGTTTATTGGCCACATATGTCTTTTGAGAAGTGTCTGTTCATGTCTTCTGCCCACTTTTTAATGTTGTGGGGTTTTTTTGTGTTTTTGTGGGGTTTCTTTGTAAGCTTAAGTTCTTTATAGATGCTGGCAATTATACCTTCACCAGATGCACAGTTTGCAAAAATTTTCTCCTACTCTGTAGGTTGTCTGTTTACTCTGATAGTTTCTTTTTCTGTGCAGAATCTCTTTAGTTTAATTAGACCCCATTTATCAATTTTTGCTTTTGCTGCAATTGCTTTTGACATCTTTTTCATGAAATCTTTGCCTGTTCCTATGTCCTGAATGGTATTGCATATGTTATATTCCAGGGTTTTTATAGTTTTAGGTTTTACATTTAAGTCTTATTCCATTGAGTTAACTTGTGTATAAGGTGTAAAGAAGGAATCCAGTTTCAAATTTCTGCATATGGCTAGCCAGTTCTCCCAGCACCACTTATTAAATCCTATGTTTGTTGCTTGTTTTTATCAGCTTTGTTATAGATCAGATGGTTGTAGGTGTGCAGTCTTATTTCTGAGTTCTCTACCCTGTTTCATTGCTCTATGTGTCTGTTTTTGTACCAGTACCATGCTGTTTTGGTTACTTTAGCCCTGTAGTGTAGTTTAAAGTTGGGTAGCATAATCCCTGCAGCTTTGATTTGCTGAGGATTGCCTTGGCTGTTTGGGCTCTTATTTGATTCCATATAAATTTTAAAATATTAGGTTGGAGCAAAAGTAATCGTGGTTTTTGCTATTGAAAGTAATTGCAAAAACTGCAATTACTTTTGCACCAACATAAGAGCTTTTTCTACTTCTATGAAGAATGTCAATGGTAGTTAAATGGGAATAGCATTGAATATATAAATTACTTTGGGTAGCATGGCCATTTTCACAATATTGATTATTTCTATCCATAAGTATGGAACACTTTTTCATTTGTGTCATCTGATTAAGCAGTGGTTTGGAATTCCCCTTGAAAACTGGCACAAGACAAGGATGCCCTCTTTCACCATGCCTATTCAAAATAGTATTAGATGTTCTGGTCAGAGCAATCAGGCAAGAAAAAGAAAGGGCATACAAATAGGAAAAAAGAAAGTCAAACTATCCCTGTTTGCAGATGGCATGATTCTATATCTAGAAATTCCATTGTCTCGATCCCAAAGCTTAAGCTGATAAGCAGCTTCAAGGTCTCGGGATACAAAATAAATGTGCAAAAATCACTAGCATTCCTACACGTTGGTCAAGCCAGGAGCCAAAGCATGAACTCACTCCCATTCACAATTGCCACAATAAGGATAAAATGCCTAAGAATATGGCTAAGAAGGGAAGTGCATGTGAAAAGCTAGATACATCATAATACAAATGGATAAAAAGGAACATCAGAGGACTCCTTTTGATAAGCGTTCAATAAAGGAATTGGCCATGACTATCAGGAAGTAAAAAAGGAACTGATGGAAGAAATATATCTACTTATAAATGAAGCTAACTGTATAAATGAAATTGGGAGATAGTAGGATATAAAAGAGTGGCAAAGGCTGGAGGGTACTTGTCGGAAAAGACATGGAGGTAATTTCAGTACTAAAAGGAGTAATCACTTTTGGGCCACAAAATGTGGTGTTCATTTCCTAACCCATACCTGAATAAAGAAGTCACCAAAATCTCAGCTGCTTGGGCCAATCTCGGCCAATATTCTTACTGTCTTTCATCTAGATCACAATATCACTTTGAGAGGATTTTTTTCTTCCTTAGCCATGCAATGAGTCTATGACAATGGGAAGGTCAAACCTCTACTATCAGCCCAGACTATAGTGCACTCCTGATTTGACCTGACTCGTAGATCTGTGAGAAATGGGGCTTCATTTTCCTTGTCATACTAGAGAATTGCCAAAGACATTCTGCAACTTTCCTACTTAAATTTTTCCTCTCAACCCCCATCCAGCATTCTCATTACTGGGCCAGTGGGTTAACAAAAAGAACTATCCATCTCATCTACATGTTCTTTCTCTGGAATAGACTGAGCACATGATCACGAATCTGCTTGGTCTTGACTCCATAGATGATAGGATTGACCATGGGTGGGAAAAGGAGATAGAAAATAGCAAGGAGGATGTGGACATGAGGGGCAGCACGGCGAGCTACACGGTGCATGACTGAGGAGATGACTACCGGAGTGTAGGTGGACAGGAGGGCACCTATGTGAGACACACATGTCCCAAATGCCTTGTAGCGGGCCTCCTGAGAGGCGAGGTGGAGAACTGCCTGAAGGATGAAGACATAAGACAGGATGACAAAGAGCAGGTCCAACACCACAATCAACATGGCCACAGCAATGCCATAGATATTGTTGAAGCGAGTGTCCCCACATGCCAGCCTCACCACAGCCATGTGTTCACAGTAGCAGTGGGCAATTACTGGGCCTCGGCAGTAGTGGAAGCCTCTCAGCAGGAACGGGAGTGGAGTCATCAGGGTCACAGCCCGGGCCACAGTAGCCATGCCAATTTTGGTGATGAGGGACCCAGTCAGGACAGTGGTGTAGTGCAGTGGCTTGCAGATGGCCACATAGCGGTCAAAGGCCATGGCCAACAGCACTGCTGACTCCATGATGGAGAAGGAGTGAAGGAAGAACATCTGGACCAGGCAGGCAAAGAAGTTGATCTCCCGATCCCTGAGCCAGAATATGGCAAGCATTTTAGGCAGCGTTGTAGAAGAAAGAACTAGGTCAATTGTTGCCAACATGGCCAGAAAGAGGTACATGGGCTCATGGAGGGCTGCATCCGCTCGGATAATAAAGAGAAGGGTACAGTTTCCAAGTAGGGCCAAAGTATAGGCAAAGCAAAAGGGGATGGAGATCCAGATGTGCAAGTGCTCCAAACCAGGAATTCCTACCAACAAAAAGGCAGCTGGATGTGTTGAGGTGATATTAGAGGGAAGCATGGCTCCTAAAAATTCTCCTTGTCAGTTTTTATAGGGCTTCTTCACCTACATATAACTTTCTACAGTATATATGATTAGAGTTCAACCTGTGATATCCCACTTACAAAGACAGCACTTGTTTCCATTGCTAGACTTTAAACAAAATAACCAAGCAGCCTACATAGACAAAGAGAAGCATAATACATATTTTCTGCCCTCAAAGAAATTTGAATTTCATTGAGTACGTAGAATATTAAATATCCATAGAATTGATATCACAAAACAACTTTCACAAAGGAATGGAGTATATGCAGTGTTTTCTGTGTTCTTGGTGATGTCATGAATACCTTGAAAGAAGAAATGAAAATGTTTAAATCAATTGATTTCTTTAGCACATACATTGGTACCATTCTACCTTTCAGTTAAGCTAAATTCCCGAATGCAAGAGCCAGTTTTCTCTCCTGAAATTTTAGAATTGGGTCCATGTATAAGTCAAATAAACCCTTCAGTTTCTAATGCCCAAATTAATCACACAATCTGAATATTTTCCCTAAAACTACTGTATTTGATAAGGTTGCTACTAGCCATATATTACTATGTAAACTTAAATTTATATTTAATAAAATCACATTCATGCAAAACACTTCTCAAGTGCTCAATAGCCACATATGACTAGTGACTACCAAGAATATTTCTATCATTGCAGAAAGTTCTATTTAAGACCACTGCTCTACAGTATATCTTTCACATCTTCTAAATATTCATAGGTTTCTGTACATACAGCCATGCTGGAAACATACTGAGAAAATGAAAGGTCCTTATTTGGTTCTCCATTGAAACCCATGGTTTTTGTTTGTTTTTTTTTAATATTTTAAGTTCTGGGGTACATGTACGGAATGTGCAGTTTCATTACATAGCTATACCTGTGCCATGGTGGCTTGCTGCACCCATCAACCTGTGTTCTACATTATGTATTTCTCCAAATGCTATCCCTCCCCTGGAACCCCACCCTCTGACAGGACCTGATGTGTGATGCTCCCCTCCCTGTGTCCATGTTCTCGTTGTTCAGCTCCTATTTATGAATGAGAACATGTGGTGTTTGGTTTTCTGTTCTTGTTAGTTTGCTGAGAATGATGGTTTCCAGCTTCATCCATGTCCCTGCAAAGGACATGAACTCATCCTTTTTATGGCTGCATAGTATTCCATGGTGTATATGTGCCACGTTTTCTTTATCCAGTCTATCATTTATGGGCATTTGGGTTAGTTTCAAGTCTTTGCTATTGTGAACAGTGCCATAATAAACATAATTTATAATCCTTTGGGTATTTGCCCAGTAATGGGATTGCTGGTCAAATGGTATTTCTAGTTCTAGATTCATGAGGAATCACCGCACTGTCTTCCACAATGGTTGAACTAATTTACACTCCTACCAACAGTGTAAAAGTGTTCTATTTCTCCACATCCTCTCCAGCATCTGTTTCCTGATTTGTTAGTGATTGCCATTCTAACTGGCATGAAATGGTGTCTCATTGTGGTTTTGATTTGCATTTATCTAATGACCAGTGATGAGCTTTTTTTCATATATCTGTTGGCTGCATAAATGTCATCTTTTGAGAGGTGTCTGTTTGTATCATTCGACCACTTGTTGATGGGCGTATTAGTCAAATAAACCCTTGTGCATGTGACTCTCCCTCCACCTGTCTTCCAGTTCCTTCTTTTTGTCACAGGAGAATTCTCATTTTTAGCAAGACTGACTTCTGACTCCCATGACAAATATCCTTCGTGTTAATAATTTTTCCTCTTTTTATCTTATCATGATCATTTTCCTTTTTTTCAGATCCTTAAACACTAGAGTTACCAAGAATGTTATAAAATATATATGTATAAAATATGTAAGTTACATATATATATATATATATATATATATATAGGACCCATTTAATGAGGTTCTATGAGGTTCTTATGAGGATTAAATGAAGTAGTGTACTTTAAACACTAGTCACAGAACAGTAAATACTGAAAATTAAAACTTGGTCTCTTTTTCAAAAAAAAGTTTAGAAATGTAATTGCTCTAAGCTATCACAGCTAATAGTAACAGAGAGCCATATTTGAGTCCTCCTTTCTACCAATTCCAATGTCCTAAATAACTAGGCTTATTGTTCCCATCTAGATGCCCTATATGCAACATGCATCCTACATAACTAGATCAGTCAGGATGGTTGGAAAGATTGTAAAAATATAGAATATAATCACAAACCTCTTGGAAAGCCAAGAGATTTACATAGTTTCAGTAGTAGTTTCGTCTGAAGGCAGCCTAATCCCCATTACCTTTAGTTGATAAAAGCAAACAAGTAGGGAATGTGGGGGAGTTTAAATAACTTCTTTACTGATCTGGTCCTAAAACTAAACTTTAATCTTTTCGGGCCAGATGGCTCTCTGGGGGAGGGCAACCAGATTTGTCACCCACAGATGGCGTTTGCTTTGGGTTTTGGAACAGGCCTTTAATCATTATCCATAAATGTGTTGACTCAGAGCCTCTGTTACTAAATCTATACTGAATAAATGCCTAGAGTACCAGCTGGTGAGGGCTGTGACTGCTATCTCTCTCAGGAGTGTCTGAGTGTCCATGGACCCCCAACCCACTCTTTCGCTGGAACTTTGTGTTTGAGTGAATTTGTTCATCTGTTGCTGGGTCAGACCCCATCATGTAACCAAACTGAAAACTAATTTCCTTCCATAAGACTTGGGAAATGTTTAGAATCTAAAGTTATTGGCTGAAATCATGACTGCCACATATTGTAGTGGTGGACTTTGCACAAATAATTTATGTACTACTTTCCTTCTCTGTTAATGGGAAATAGCACTAAACTACCTTTTTTCGAGGTGGAGTTTTGCTCTTGTTGCCCAGGCTTGAGTGCAGTGGTGCAATCTTGGCTCACTGCAACCTCTACCTCCCAGATTCAAGCAATTCTCCTGCCTTAGCCTCCCCAGTAGCTGGGATTACAGGCGTGCACGACTGTACCCAGCTAATTTTGTATTTTTAGTAGAGACAGGGTTTCCCCATGTTGGTCAGCTGGTCTCCAACTCCCAATCTCAGGTGATCTGCCCACCTCAGCCTCCCAAAGTGCTGGGATTAGAGGCATGAGCCACCTTGACCAGCCCAAACTACCTTTATCTGAGGGATATAGGGAGGTTAAGTGTGATTATGCATAAAATCATTTTGTATAATTTCTTAGTGCACAGAACTTTGTCATTTACATTTCTCTTCTGTAGAAATATTAGTTTTAAAAATTATTTATGTTGATTAATCTACCATGACATTAAATCCTCCTCCCTTTATTCAAACCTCTGCTTTTCCTTATAGTGAAACATGTAAAAATGTCTACAATCTCAACTCTATCAAGGATAATTGGCTTTGAAACAAATGAATCTGAATTTTATTCCCATCACAAACCAAAAACTCCTTTTACTGTGACAATCAATGACCTCCATGATGGTGCCCTTGTCACTTACCTGCCTTCATGCAACTCGACCCCTGAGCAACTTTTATCTGAATTGACAACTCTCCTGCTTAAAACTTACTTTTCTCTTGTGTGCCACGATATTCCCATTTCCAGGCTCCATTGTGTCTCACTTCCTTTTCCTGCTTCTGCCCTAACTGTATTACATTTCTACAGTTCTGAAGCATGATCCTTTCAAATTTTATATCCATGTCATTTGGAAAATATAGTAACTAAATAAAATGAGAACTATTTAAATATTTTAACTGAATGGGTTAAGGAAAAAATCCATGAACAAAACAGATGGATCCCTTAGTAGAATGTTTGCTAAAGACTGGAGAAGGATAATAAAAGGACATCATGATTAAATTACATATTACACAAAGTTTCATTGTTGTGATTTAAAAACCAAGGAATAGGGCAATGATAGGCATTTTATGACGGGGCGCACGGGAAGTTGAAATTTGAAATAAAAAGTTTGTTACAAACCTCATTAGACAATAAATTTGAGAAAAATTGAATGAAGTGAGGAAATAGCTTCACTTCTTTAAATAGCAGAAACTAAAATTTCATGCCAGTGGTATATACAGAAAAACTATACAGTGAAAAAGAATAGGAAGAAGGAATGGAACAGGAAAGAGAATATGGATCCAAAGGTGCCTTGCTGAGATGGATAATGCAGTCATCACTATATCCAGTTCCACATGAAGAACCATAGAGAAGGAACCAAAGAATTGTCCACTCTAGACACAGAAGAGGGGAACTTTTATTCACTGGCTTCCACACCCATACGTCAAGGATGACCCAAGGAGTGTGGATTTCCTTGCATTTTTCAGGTCCATACATGCCCCAGAATAACTGAATGAGATCCCTGAGGTGCCCATGCAATAAAGCAGACAAACTCTGGGGTGGGATGCAGCTGAGTAAGGTGCTATCAACCAAACCTGCACTCAAATGCTTCTCACAGCAATGGCTACAACAAAAAGGAGAGATGACAGGATGTGAGATGACCGTAAGAGATTTAAAATATAGGAGTCACCAAGGGGAAAGGAACACTCTAAGAAAATGGAACAGCCAGAGAAAATACCCCAAGATATAACACGTGGCATTCAAATATCAGCAGGCAGCCAGCACAGCTAGGATGAAGTGAAAGAGCAGGAGAGTCAGGTCAGAGCAGTCGGGCCAGATCACACAGGGACTCACAGGCTGCTGTCAGACTTTGCACATGTTCCTCACTTCTCTCAGAATCAGATCATTGTTTTCAGCAGAGAGGAGATATATTTGACATACACTTTTAAAGTTTTCCTTGGCATCGATGATAGAGAATAGCACAAACAGAGAAGGGAAGAATTGGGGAAAAGTGGAGACTGTTGCAGGAATCCAGGGAAAGAAGAATGTTGGCTGAGGATCAAGGTAGCAGTGTATGTGGTGGGAATTAATAGGAGTGGGTATACATTTCTTAAATGTGTCAATGGTATTTTTGACAGGTTAGATAGGGGAAGTGTGATGACAGTGAGTCAAAGATGACACCCCCGATT